TTGGAGCGTGTGGGCGAATTGAATGGAGAGACGTTGGAGAAGATATGCGTTGAATGCTTCGCCGGTCGAACATGGAGCGTTTACTTCGCAGTTGCCATGAAGAAGAAGTTGCGTTTCTTTTTTTTTTTTCTTTCTTGTGCGAATCAGGAGAGCAATGGATGGGCCAATTAACTTGTTTTGATGATGGGTTTGGGCTCTGGCCCAAATTCAATCTCCTTTTTCCAAACTTGAATTGCAATTTGGTCTTTTGCTACACTTTTCACCAAAAAATAAGATATCTGATAATTTTGGGTTAGGAAAAATAAAAATAATAGAATGTAAAAAAAATGATTAAAAAAACTACTATTTATGAAAGAAAATAAAAGATTGTAAGAATTGGAATAAAAATAAAACAAAGCTAAACAAATGAAAATTAAACAATAAAAATACTAAAAATGCCAAAAAGAGAATTAAAAATATTAACCCAAACCCGAGTTATCAGTAACTCCCTGCATTTATTTCACTAATTTAAACCCAACTGTTTTCTTATTAAATAATCATTAATGCTTTTGTAACGGACGGTTCTCGGACAGTCCATGTAACTCTACCGGTCCGTTGGGTTGCGGGTGAACCGGGTCCACGGAAGGCGGGTGTTACAATTTGGTATCAGAGAGGTTCAGTTTTGTAAAAAAAAAATCATTTTGGGTCAAAAGGGTCTTTTTCAAAAGTCCACAGCCGCATCTCCCATCACATCACTCCTAGGGAAAGGTACACCGTTATTTTAATCACATGTATGTCATATTGTAGTTAGTTCTGATTTAAGTTATTCCTTTAGAAAATGAGCCAAGCAGCTGGCAACGACGGACAGGCTGTCCTAGAGGGTGAGCCTGAGCACGTGAGCGTGCACACTGAAGCGTCAAGCTTCACACCCCAGCAGGCCTCTGAGCATGCGGTTCCGGGCGCAGGACCCGATTCCTGAAGATGTCCATATCATTCAGCCGCAACTCGCGGCTAACTTCATGAACTTTCTCCAGCAAATGGCTGGAGCATACGTGCCACCACCGCCACCACCGCCGCCACCAGCGGCGGTGGTCACCATCGAGAAACTCCGGAAGAATGGAGCTGAGGAATTCTTGGACGATCAGATTGCCGACCCCATGATTGCTAAGCAGTGGTTTGAGCGAACCATCCGAGTGTTGGGGAACCTGAGGGTTCCACAGGAGTAGCGTGGCGACCTCGCAGTTGCCTTACTTCAGGATTCCGCCTACGAGTGGTGGAAACGCGTAGAAGCGGACGTTCCGGAGCCCGTTCAGTGGGCCACTTTTGATCGACTCTTCCATGAGGAGTACGTCCCAGAGCACTTCGTCGAGGCGAAGCGAGAGGAGTTCTTGAAGTTCACCCAGGGGGAACTCACGCTGCCTGAGTATCGTCAGAAGTTTGACGAGCTCGCGGGGTTTGGGCAAGACCTCGTACCGACTGTGGAGAAGCGGTGCAAACGCTTCGTGGAGGGCTTACGTCTTGACCTTTCAACTCATCTGATAATTTCCCCACGAAGTGACAGCAACGCGTTGTACAAGAATGTGTTGGACCTGAATGCGGCCCTCATTAAGAAGGCTGAATTCGAGCAGGCGCAGGGGGCGTCAGCAACACCATCTCGTCCTCCTCCACCCCAGAAGGCGGGGACCAGCAGCAAGAGGTCCTTTGTAGCGCCGAGCAGCTCTCACTAGAGCAAGAAGGTGAAGTCAGCCCCAGCTCAGTCATCTGCGTCCGTGCAAAAGAAGGGCAAGAGCGGAGATGGGTTTCGCAACCCAATTTGCGACCATTGTGGGCGCAGGCACCCAGGGGAGTGTTCGTACACTTTGGGCTTGTGCCTTGGGTGTGGCCAAGCCGAGTATTTCCGAAAGGATTGTCCGAAGAATCCGGGTGAGGCATTCTCGACCGCACCAGCCGCTTCAGCCCCAGCAGCACAGCCCGCCCAGAGCCAGAAGTCGGCGGCAGCATCCAGTCAGCCCAAGCGGCAAGCATCAAGCGCTCAAGGGGGGAAGGCCCGAGCCCGCACTTACGCAATGCGAGGGCGTACCGAGTAGCCAGCCCATGACGTCATCATGGGTATGTTTACCTTGTTCGATACATCTATTACAGCTTTGATTGATCCGGGTTCCACTCTATCATATGTTTGTATACATGCCTGTTATGCCTAACATTCCGAGGGAAGACTTAGACAACCCGGTAATTGTGTCCAACCCATTGGGACACAGTCTACGACTCACCCATGTGTATCACGATTGCCCGTTGGTAGTCCAGGGAAAGATCTTCCCTGCGAGTCTCATTGAGCTTCCACATCGTGAGTTTGACGTTATTCTAGGCATGGATTGGCTCACCGCCAACCAAGCCGTTGTTGACTGTGGAGCTCATACTGTTCGACTGAGAGTCGAAGACAGTAGTGACGTACTGATCCATGCTGAGCTTCTTCCGAAAGCTCCAATATTCATTTCCTACATTCATGCTCGTCGACTCATTCGCAAGAAGTGTGAAGCATTCTTGTGCACAGTGCGTGACACTTGTCAGGAGGCGCCTAGTAGGGGGGACATCCCTACGGTATGGGACTTTCCTGATGTGTTTCCAGATGACTTACCTGGTCTACCGCCCCCTAGGGAGGTAGAGTTTTCCATTGATCTTGTTCTAGGAACAGGACCGATCTCGATCACACCTTATCGCATGGCGCCTACGGAGATGAAGGAGCTGAAGGCTCAACTGCAGAAGTTGCTGGGTAAGGGCTTCATCCGACCTAGTGTGTCTCCTTGGGGAGCACCGGTTCTGTTCGTCCGCAAGAAGGACAGATCGATGCGGTTGTGCATTGATTACCATCAGTTAAACAAAGTTACCATCAGGAATCGCTATCCGTTACCCCGCATTGACGATTTGTTTGACCAGCTGAGAGGAGCCACGGTCTTCTCTAAGATCGATCTCCGATCAGGGTACCATCAGATTCCCGTCAAGAAGGAGGACATTCCTAAGACGGCTTTCCGCACGAGATACGGTCATTACGAGTTCACAGTCATGCCCTTTGGTTTGACTAACGCACCAGTAGTGTTCATGGATCTGATGAACAGTGTGTTCCGGAAGCATCTTGATCAGTTTGTTGTGGTCTTCATTGATGACATCTTGGTGTACTCCAAGACACAGGAGGAGCATGCCGAGCATCTGCGTATCGTTTTGAGCATTCTTCGGGAACAACAGCTTTATGCCAAGCTGTCCAAGTGCGAGTTCTGGTTGCACGAGGTTACCTTCCTCGGCCATGTCATCTCGGCCGAAGGTGTGAAGGTAGACCCGTGTAAGATAGCAGCGATCACGGAGTGGAAGACTCCGTGGAATGCACGTGAGGTGAGGAGTTTTCTAGGACTGGCGGGTTACTATCGTCGGTTCGTGAAGGACTTCTCCAAAATAGCATCGCCACTACATAAGCTGATGAGGAAGGACGTCAAGTTCATTTGGACTGACGCTTGTCAGCAGTGTTTCGAGCGGCTGAAGGAGTGTCTGACCCAGGCACCAGTTCTAGTCTAGCCCACTCCAGGAGTGGAGTATACGGTTTTCAGCAACGCGTCCCATAACGGCTTGGGGTGTGTTCTCATGCAGGAGGGCAAGGTCATTGCGTATGCATCTCGGCAGCTGAAGCCGCACGAGTGTATTTATCCGACACACGACCTAGAGCTAGCAGCCATTGTACTTGCCTTGAAAATCTGGAGGCATTACCTCTACGGTGAGATGACGCGTATCTTCATCGACCATAAGAGTCTTCAGTACCTGTTGACGCAGAAGGATCTGAATCTCCGACAGAGGAGGTGGTTAGAGTTGATTAAGGACTATGACTGTCACATCGCTTACCACCCAGGTAAGGCGAATGTGGTAGCTGATGCCCTTAGTCGTAAGACTCTAGCTGTGCTACACGTCCAGCCTACATTACAGCAGCAGATAGCCTCAGCCCAGAGCAGCGAAGATTTCTGTATCGAGACCGTTGAGCTCGTCTCTCGAGGAGAGAAGCTGGATTTTGCAGTTCGGGATGGTATCTTGTACTATCGGGAGCGTATGCTTGTCCCAGCGGGGGAGGTGAGAGAACGCCTGCTTCGCGAAACACACAGCACTGTGTATACCATGCACCCGGGCAGTAACAAGATGTTCCAGGACCTTAGGAGACATTACTGGTGGCCCGCGATGAAGCGGGAGATCACTGAATTCACGTCGCGGTGTTTGACTTGTCAGCAGGTCAAGGCCGAGCACCAGGTTCTTTCAGGATTGCTTCAGCAGATCACCATTCCCGAGTGGAAGTGGGATCGCATTACGATGGATTTCGTCGTGGGACTGCCATTGTCACCACATAAGCACGACACAGTTTGGGTCATCGTTGATCGGTTGACCAAATCAGCACATTTTCTCCCCATTCGTTGTGACTTCTCACTCCAGCGATTAGCGGAGTTATACATCCGCGAGATCATCAAGCTACATGGAGTACCGTGATCTATCATTTCGGATCGTGACCCTCGATTCACATCACAGTTTTGGAAGAGTCTACAGAGGGCATTGGGCTCCGATCTCCACTTTAGTACGACGTTCCACCCTCAGACAGACGGTCAGTCAGAGAGGGTGATTCAGATTCTCGAGGATATGATGTGTGCATGTGCAATCGACTTCGGGGCCGGTTGGGAGCGATACCTGCCACTCATGGAGTTTGCATACAACAACAGTCACCAGGCTAGCATCGGTATGGCACCGTACAAAGCTCTGTACGGTAGACCCTGTCGTACCCCTACTTGTTGGAGGGAGCTTAGTGAGAAGAGGCTAGAGGGGCTTGATCTAGTTCGTGAGACCAAGGAGAAGGTTCAGGTGATTAAGGACCGACTTAAGGCGGCTTCGGACCAGCAGAAGTCCTACGCCGACCTTAAGAGGCGTGACATCGAGTATGCAGTTGGGGATAGGGTTTTCCTCAAGGTGTCACCCTGGAAAAACGATCTACGTTTCGGCAAGAGGGGTAAATTGAGTCCGAGGTTTATAGGCCCGTACCTAGTCACTGAACGGGTAGGACCTGTAGCTTACAGGCTCGAGTTACCATCGGAGTTGAGCAAGATCCACAATGTTTTCCAGGTGTCCATGCTTCGGAGGTACCGGTCGGACCCATCTCATGTGATTCCAGCTGATACAGTCACACTTGATGAGAATCTTACGTATGAGGAGGAGCCGATTGAGATTCTGGCTCGCGAAGTCCGTCAATTGAGAAACAAAACCATTCCGCTAGTCAAGGTCTTGTGGAGAAGTCACACTGTTGAGGAGGCGACATGGGAAACTGAGGAATCCATGCAAGCTCGTTATCACATCTTTTCAGTGATCAGTGATCAGGTAAATTTCGGGGACGAAATTTTCTTAAGGGGTGGATAATTGTAACACACTGCAACCCCGTCTAATAGAATTGATTAATTTAATTAATTAATTACTATTCCGGACCAGAGTTGGGGAAATTCAAAAGTTCTTAGAAAAATTATTTGATCATATCATTAAATTCGTTTTGACTGCCTGATTCCAGAAACGCAAACAGATCTCAATTCGGACCCGTTTGGGGGGAGAAAGCGCATACCGTTCAGGTCAGATTTTACATTATGGAGTAGAATAAAATTTGTAACCCCGCAAATTCACCCCTTACGCCACTCATTCCCCATAACTCACCATCACTCTCATTCATTCTCCTCATTATTCCCATAACTTAAAAACCCACACATTTCCCATTCGTCCCCTCACATTTTTGTAACTCCCACACACAATTCATCTTCACTCTCCCTCTCTCTCTCATTTTCGGCCAGACCAGCAGCGAGGAGGACCTCCGGCGATGCTCCGGGCGTTCGTGCGAAGCGTAGTCGTCGTTCGTCAGTTCGTTGGCACCATTCGTTCATCTCGTTCCGTCAACCCCTTCATTTAGAGGTGAGTAGTTGTCCCCTCTAATTCTAGAACATTAAGTTATAATCTATGTCATTATATTCATAGAAATATCGTACGCAACCTACATAGAATCCATACATGTTCGTAGATTAATCACCAAAATGTTCATTACGTAAACCTATAAATTTTGGCCTAGGAATCACTAGAAATGTATTCATAAATGTTATGTTATTGTTCCAAAAAGAATCTAGGTGTTAAATTAGCAAAACAGAGTAAAGGACAGCGGACTACCTCCGGGACGGTCGACCGCCGCTACGGACGATGGCCGTACCCATGGCCAATCCGACGGTCACCACCGTGACAGTCGACCGCCGGCCACGACGGAAGACCGCGGTGGACCGTCAGCCATCTAGTTCCCCACAACGCAATCCACGGTCGACCGCCGGTAGGGTACGGTCGACCGTTCTACGGGCAGACTTCCGGGCAGTTTGTAGAACGAGCCCGTTGACCCAGAATCTGATCGTTTCTTGCATGAAAAGTTAATTTTTATTTTAAATATTATATAATTGATATATTCTCGGCATTTACCAAAGGTAAAAAAACATCAAGCATCCATCATGTTCATTCTAGACGCATGTCTTAGGTTTCATCATGTGCATACTGCTGTAGGGAGGACTTCGTGCGCCTACTACAGTGGGCCCGTCCAGGAACCTTCGGGGACCAACGGGTTTCCATCATGTTGGGATTGTGTACGTACATAGTAGTCAGGCTACGGCTACTACCCGGTTTTTGCTAGTTCACTCGTGACATCTTCGTCGTGCCTGGCTCGTTACCATTCGGGGACGATGACCGGAGTGCAGGGGTGATCCTGTCGAGTGAGACTAAGTCAGGGGTGTTTCTGATATTTCAAGTCTTGCATCAAGTCATATCTTCATCATGTATGTTCCAATCACCTTGTGGTTTGTAATAGCTCTAACAGGTGGAAACTAAACAATTAGTAACATGTGGTTTTTCCCATACGTTAAGTACAGGTATTAATATGTGTATAGCCATATGGGTTATCACTTAATGTTCTTATGTTAGATTCACTCCTCAGCTTATGTTGAGCGTGTAGTTGTCTTTGCTACACGCAGGTAGACATGACGGTGCGGGTGCCAACCCTGGAGAGCAGTGACGATGGAGAGATGGGCGGCGCGCGGACAAGCTTTTATTTATTTCCATAAACTTAATTAATTAATTGGGCATGAACCCACCCTTGTTGTTATTTAATTTGGACTCTACTTATTTATTTACTTCCGCATTTACTCTGCACTTTTATTACACACGTTTTGGGAGTAACTCCCTGGCATTTATTTCACTAATTTAAACCCAACTGTTTTCTTATTAAATAATCATTAATGCTTTTGTAACGGACGGTTCTCGGACAGTCCATGTAACTCTACCGGTCCGTTGGGTCGCGGGTGAACCGGGTCCACGGAAGTCGGGTGTTACAGATGAGGAATGGGTTGAATTAAGATCAGAATAAATTTCCCTCTTTGTAAACTTTTAAAACTTTGTTTTTAATTATTGTATCAATTATTGTAATGTTTAATTATTAAGTGATGAAATTTAACATTCGACACGAGTATCTGAGAACAACCTTGAATCCAATAAACTAAAGATGATCATATAAATGAATTAAAGAAACACAACAAAATTTAACTTTGTTGTACATTGTTTAACATTCGGCAGGAATATGAAAACCAAAAAACACAAATGGAACTCGGTATGTGTGTCCATCACAAAATCTATAGACTTCTAGTCACCGTGGTGTGAAATTGTAACACCCCAACCCGCGTGACCCGAACCAACGAATTAGCGAACCGGATTACTAACGGCTAGCTACTATACCGGTGTTCGGGTCGTTACAAAAATGCATTCTTTAACTCGCCAATTGAGCTCAAAGCCTCTCCATGTCAGGTCTGTACTAGTTGATCCTTCTCCTCGTGTCGGTTAATAAACCAGGAGTCAATCCAGGGTGCTTATAATACAGATGGACTGTAATAACATAATCCAACACTGGTCTCCGTAGTGAGGAGCACATTCTTGGACTCACCACTTGAGCTCAGAGCCTCCGCCATGTTAGCTCTGTACTCGTTGTGCCGCCTCCTCCATAGCCGCCCCAAGAGCTAGTAGCAATTGACGCACATTTCTCCACCCCAAAACAAGTTTACGGGAAGAAAACACATTGTTTCTGGCAGACTTATTCTTGATCCAAAAGCAATCTGTTTCAGGTTAAACCGGTGGGAGAATGGCAAAAGAGGCATAATGGATCACGAGAAATCCATTATGCTCCTTTTATTAATTCGAGAAATCCATTATGCTCTTTACTAAAGAACCACGTAAATGAAAGAACCATAACTCCCAATCCATTATGATAGAAAGGTGAGAAATTTTAACAATAGATAACCGGATTGGAGAATAAGATGGTGCAATGACTTAGAATTTATAGGGGGGATAACCATTGGTTCTTGGTGAAAGAAGGCTTTGGCATTGAACGGTTCTTGGTGCAATGACTTTGAACGGTTTGGCATTGAATTCGGGTAGTTTAAAAGCATTTCAGGGAAATGCATATCCCAAGAATTATTTTTACGGAGATTATAAGAAGGGCCTTTATCCACCGTTTGATATAACCTGCCTCAGTCACATCAAATCTTTTCAATTACTATTTACTGTCCCAATTTACTGTCCCATTATTACAATTGGAAAATTTTTGAAAATAATTAAAGAATTGTTATAATATTGTTATAAGAATATAAATGAAGAACATAATATATTTTGTATGCAAAATTCTGTAAAACAACTATAGGGAAATAATATTTCAAAATTGACATATGCTCAGATTTAATTATTTTGGTTTCGGTCGACCTCTTCTAATATTAGGTTTGGTCGATCATAGAAACTATTTATAGCATTTGAAAAAACATCAAATGGAATTCAATGCGACTCTTATTAAAAGGTCGACCAAGTTTATTAATGGGCTTGGTCGACCAAACGAATCTCAATAATAGGTGTAATAACTTGAGAGTTGAGACTAGTTTGGTCGAACGTGATTAATGCACTAATCGCATAGTTGTAATAGCAAATGCATGCCCACAATAATTTTACTGAGCAAGAGATAATTTTGGACCGATAACTTTACTGAGAAATATTTTAAGATGTGTGGGCCATCATCATAATGACGGAGATAAGATCCACTGTTCGATATATCCTACTCGGTCACATCAATTCTTTTCAACTACTTTTAAATAATAAAATCATCCACCGTTTTTTAATACTATTTACTATTTACTTATTTTTTTTGGTTTGGTCGACCAAGTTTATTAATGGTTGTCGTCGACATAGGGTCCAAGAACAGGTTTGGTCGACAACCAAATTCTGTAGAAAATAGCTTCAGATCAAAAAACATATTCAAACTTAATACCGACAAAAATACATTTAAGTCATCCAATTATTCAAAGATCTAACAAGTTTAATCAATACAAATTACATTGAATTTTCACTGTCTTCATCTTCGCTTGAATAAAAGCCAGGAAGGATCTGTGCACCGTGGGGAGCAAACACCGTGAGAAAATACATGTTACCAATATGGTATTGGAAATGCAGGATAAATCCCGACATTAACTGGTATAATTCTATGATGGCCGTCCAACCGTCTCTCAAAAAAGTAGCAGAAGATGTGCGGGAAATGGTGACTCTCATGATAGTAGGGTCCGGACCCGTCACTATAATCAACTTGTTCAAGTTCTCCATGCTGTCTGCAACCAATTCAGGGATGCTCTAGGGAGTAATGTGAAGATATAGAACAATAGTTAAAAATCTAATTCGGAAGAAATCGAAAAATAGTTAAAAATCTAACTACGTAATAAGATTTTGTTGAAACACTTACGAGTCGGGTGCGGAAGAAATCATTTTCCCGCAGCAGAGTAACGAAAGTTTGCGGCATTTTTTTAGGCGTTTCAGGAGTGCGGCCAAAGTTTTTTAAAATGACAAGATCCCGCGGATGATTAAAAAGAATTTGTAAGATCCCGCCAGAACCTTTCGCCTCGTCGCCCAATTTTTTGATTTAGGCAGCCAAAGTTTTTTAACACCCCGCCCGGGCGGCCATCTATGGTAAGATTTACACCCAACTTAGTCCTAAATAAAACCATGGAAGCATGAATAAATAACATAATTACGGTTTAAATTACCATAAATACAATAATAGGGACATGAGTTATCCTCTAAATGTATAATTTTTTAACAAATTTTTTAAATAAGTACTTACATACCGAGTAGATAAAAAATATAAAAATGTAAAATATTAAAATGACAAATTAAAATAAACTTATTTGTATTAAGTATGGATTATAACTAAATAGATATATATTTTTTATTAATCACAACCAATGGATGATATTGATTGCATTATAGTTTTATTCGCTGATGTAATTCTTATTATAGATGAAAAAATATGGATCAAAGCTTATCGATCGTGAACAAAGAAGCATTTTTGGTAGTCACGGATCATCGAAAGGCTCGGGTGTCACGACTGGCTGTGACTATTGCGGTTAGTTTAGTTGTGGACACTTCTTTTTCAGTAATTGGTAGTCAGTAGTCATCAAATGGCTCGGGTGTCACGACTGGTTCTGACTATTGCGGTTAGTTTAGTTATGGACACTTCTTTTCAGTAATTGGTACTCAGTAGTCATCGAATGGCTCGGGTGTCAGACTGGTTGATCCGTGAGATGTCCGAATACCGACGACTACCTCGAAGGAGCTATCAAATGGCTCGGGTGTCACGACTGGTTGTGACTATTGCGGTTAGCATAGTTGTGGACACTTCTTTTTCAGTAATTGGTAGTCAGTAGTCATCGAATGGCTCAGGTGTCACGACTGGTTGTGACTATTGCAGTTAGTTTAGTTGTGGACACTTCTTTTTCAGTAATTGGTAGTCAGTAGTCATCGAATGGCTCGGGTGTCAAACTGGTTGATCTGTGAGATGTCCGAATACCGACGACTACCTCGAAGGAGTTATCGAATGGCTCGGGTGTCACGACTGGTTGTGACTATTGCGGTTAGTTTAGTTGTGGACACTTCTTTTTCAGTAATTGGTAGTCAGTAGTCATCGAATGGCTCGGGTGTCACATTGGTTGATCCGTGTGATGTCCGAATACCGACGACTACCTCGAAGGAGTTATCGAATGGCTTGGGTGTCACGACTGGACACTGGTTGTGACTATTGCGGTTAGTTTAGTTGTGGAAACTTCTTTTTCAGTAATTGGTACTCTGTAGTCATCGAATGGCTCAGGTGTCACGACTGGTTTTGACTATTGTGGTTAGTTTAGTTGTGGACACTTCTTTTTCAGTAATTGGTAGTCAGTAGTCATCGAATGGCTCGGGTGTCACGACTGGTTCTGACTATTGCGGTTAGTTTAGTTGTGGACACTTCTTTTCAGTAATTGGTAGTCAGTAGTCATCGAATGGCTCGGGTGTCAGACTGGTTGATCCGTGAGATGTCCGAATACCGACGACTACCTCGAAGGAGTTATCAAATGGCTCGGGTGTCACGACTAGTTGTGACTAATGCGGTTAGTTTAGTTGTGGACACTTCTTTTTCAGTAATTCGTAGTCAGTAGTCATCGAATGGCTCGGTTGTCAGACTAGTTGATCCGCGAGATGTCCGAATACCGACGACTACCTCGAAGGAGTTATCGAATGGGTCGGGTGTCACGACTGGTTGTGACTATTGCGGTTAGTTTAGTTGTGGACACTTCTTTTTCAGTAATTGGTAGTTAGTAGTCATCGAATGGCTCGGGTGTTAGACTGGTTGATCCGCGAGATGTCAGAATACCGATGACTACCTCGAAGGAGTTATCGAATGGCTCGAGTGTCACGACTGGTTGTGACTATTGCGGTTAGTTTAGTTATGGACACTTCCTTTTCAGTAATTGGTAGTTAGTAGTCATCGAATGGCTCAGGTGTCAGACTGGTTGATCCGTGAGATGTCCGAATACGGACGACTTCCTCGAGTACCATGATTAGTCATCAAATGGCTCGGGTGTGATGACTGTTTGTGACTACAGTTACTTTAGTTTACTTGTGGACCCTACTTTTGTAGTCATTGGTTGTGAGGTGTCATTGAATATCTCTAGTGTCATGACTGGTTGTGCCTATTACCGTTATTTTAGTTTAGTTATGGACCCTACTTTTTCAGTTA